CTGTTTTATTACGCTTAGCGCATCTGAAACCTTAGCTTCTTAAAAGAAAAAATTTGTGTAGCTTCCTAAAGAGAGAAACTTATGCAGCTTTCCAAATAGAAATTAAGAAATTCACTCTGCTTCTTGAAGCGAGAATGCTGAGCCCTTATACAAAAAAATATTTTTGTCTAACATACGCACGTATAAACTTTTTTCCCAGTTTGAAGCTAGTTTCTGCTCAGAGATCTCTTAAACCCTCTCACCTACATTCGTGTGCACTGACCGCTTCTTTGCCTATCTCCATTATTGTGCTGCTTCAATAACTCGTTTTGTTATTCTTGCAATTGTTCGTTGCTTTTGAAACATACTCACCGTTCACTGGTACAACGGGCAGAAATGACCAAAATTGATTCGAGCGTGAAGATTGGAAGCTATAGAGAAATTCGAAGTTTTTTGAGCTTGAGACTTATGTTTCTGAATGATGCAGCTGCTTCAATTATGCTACTCCCATTCAGCTCATCCAGATTTCCATTGATATTATCAGTTAGCACGTCGCATTTGCCGTTTTCAATTTTTATCAGGCAGAGAGGCGAATTAGCACGTCATTCTGCCTTTGTTAACCCACTGTCATTCCTTTGCAATTTTTCATTGCCCTAACTGTTAATCCCAGGGCAGAGTAACTGTGTATTTTTGGTGATTTATTTTTATAACTTATGAGTTTTCGAATCAGTAAACAAGCAAATGATCTACTGTTACAGTTGCACCAACGAATAGTGTAATAGTGCACTAAGTAATATTTGAACTGGTAGAGGTTTAGAGAGAAACAGTAATCCAGTGGTAGACTGAGATTACAACTGAGATTTGGTTGTGGAGAGGGAGGAGGGAGAAGGGAACAAGGTCGTAGCCGGGAAGGTGGGAAAATACGTCACAAATTCCAGCTACTGGGATTTCCTTGCAATCCTGCTACAACTACTTCGTATTGTAGCAAGATTGCAAGGAATCCCAGTAGCTAGAATTTTTGAAGCACTGGCCCTCGAAATTTAGGAAGCTAATTGGGTAGCTATGTGGTATGTTAGTTGTAGATGTCGGCTTCAGTGACCCTACAAATGGAAGTCCCTACTGCGTGGAAAATACCACACTAGAACAGTTGAAATCTTTTGGTCGCACATGAGCACAGGACATCCCTCAAAATTTTAGCTTTCTAGCTTTTTTTGTTCAAAAGCTACCAGTTTCCTCGTCAAAGTTTACACGTGCCCGTACTTGAATCCCGAGTGTACGGAGGAGCTGACACTTGAAATCTTCTAGTCGTATATGAGTGCTAAAATTTTAAGGGAGTGTTCCCTTAAAATTCCAGCTTTTTAGCTTTTCTCCTTCTCGAGTCAGTAATTTTTCCACCGAAATTTTCTCGTGCCCGCATGTGGGACATAGGCGTGCTTGACAGTTGACACCATGCTCTTGGAGTTGCACTTGGCCAGAGGATACACTGACAAATTTTCAGCATCAGTACTTGCGTGTTTGCCAAGTAAAAATACCCGGACAGACGAGCACACACACACACACAGACAGGGTCGTCGCAATATGCATTTTTGCTACCTGCTGCAGCGCTCTAGTGCTGCATGGCAAAAACGCACAAAAATAACCTTAGCTGGAGCTCTACGTTTCGCCTTTTTCGCTCTTTCCAGTTTCTCTGCCTCTTGTCTACGAACATTGCCCTTGCTGCTTTCTCGCAGTGCAGAATTCGAGAATGTCTCATCACATGAAATATGAGAGCCGCGCTGAAAACGCTATTAAAATGAATCTATGAATAACTTTCTTATTCACTGCTTTTCCTGTTCAAATGTCCCCGAAAATTTTATCATAGAAATGAAAGCGTTAAATCCCTCATAGTACAGTGACGCTTATTTGTTCAGGAATTAACGTTCAGTTAAAATATAAAAAATTTAAATGATCCTTACCACACGTCAATCATCATCCATTATTGCTGAAGAATAACTAACTGTTTCGCAGTTGTAATGGATGATAACTGATTATTTATCCTTATTATTTTTGTTCAACTTCCCATAGTTGAATAAAAATAATAATAGAGAAGTTGCCAGTTGCTCGATGGCGTGACATCAGAGATCGATGAAACAACAGCTATTCAAGATATTCAAGGTATTATTTTTATTAGATTTTTCAGTTTTTTTGCTGCATTCTTCACCTGGACCTCTTTCATGGGCAATTACTAAAACTCGCCTCGGCTCAACAAGTTTGGGGGACAAGTAGCGAAGATTAGGAAAGAGAGAGATAGAAAGAGGAATGGCGAAAACAGCGGTCAGCAGTTTTATCGCCAAGTGGTTTTTTCTGGCATTTGCTACTGCTCGGGCTACTTTCCCACTATCCCATCGTCTTTCACACAGAGACGGAGAGGCTTTCGACCCCCGCCTTTTAAATAAGTATGTATTTCATCGCTAAAACAGCACAAGCCTCCGAGCACTGACCTGTGTCGAGATGAATGCTTCCAGAGTGGCCACTCGATTTCGCAGTTTTTTTGCGAAAGACGTTAACGCTCGTATATAGCCGCGTGTTGCCTCTGTTTCGCTGTATAACTAAAATAATAAAAACACTGCATCAGTAATAGATACAGGCAAAAATTAGTGCAGAACCTCTTTTTGAAGGGGCACTTACATCAACAATATCTTCGGTATCTGTGATAAGAAGTTTGATTTGCGCCACATCCATCCAATCATTGGTGTCTATGTTTCCGAGCATTCGACAAAAAACAGACGCATAATCGTCTTCCGGATCTTCGCCTAATGCTGAGAGTATCTTGCTGCATAAAAACGGCTGCACCGATCCCTTCTGCAACGAATAGACTTCATTTTCGTTTAAAAAAGAAAATATGTAAAACAAAGACAACCATACTGCAGAATAATCACAAAACGCTGCTTGCGGCAATTCAATATCCCCATGCCTCATTACAGCGTTTGTCTGCAGTATTGCATCTATTTCAACCGTACCCAGCCATCATCATACTTTACCAGAATACACTTCAAAATTTCTGAAAACAACTAACACTCACCCTCATTTCCTTCTCTTCCTTCATCTCCCTCCGGTAAACATGTTCCTTTTTACATGGCGAAATGGAACACTGTATTGATGATTCCCACCCCATTTCGCACCCCTTCTGCTGTCTGTGGTTACAGCTCAGGGATAAAACACATAGAGAATACCAGCTCAATGTATACACAGACTTGCTTATTTCGGAGATTTAAATGGCACTTCCAATTTTTCGTTAATTCTCAAAATTCGACTGTGTTCCTCTCCACGGTGGGCCAACAGCGCCAAACAAACTGCATATGTTAACACACAGAAGACTTCAGGCCCCCGTCCTCTCTTCTAGCCAGGAAAATTCATTGTTTGTATCTTTAAAATTTCTAAAACACTTACGCGGATTACTGTGGGGCAGCACACAACTCGAGAAGGCATTTACCTCTTTATCCGGACCATTCAGCAACTGGGAGCTGACTGCATGCATAAAGCAGGATCCCAATGCGTCAACATTAATACGCTGCAATGCTCCCTCGAACTGACTATCGCTGCGCAGTGCGTCAAACGTTTCCGGAAATGCTTCAACCAAAAGCATTTGGTGATCCCTTCAATAAACGTCGCAGTGGACCAATGGAATTTAAGTGGATTTAGATTTAACCAGCAGAGATGACTGTCTTCCCAGGCAGAAATGCTCAAGCACTTTATTTGTTCCTCTCTCACCGATTTCTTTTTCTTTCGCTTATCGTCTTGTAAATAGAGTGAGAGAGGAACAATCAAAAGGCTTGAGCATTCCTGTTTGGGAAGATAGTTCTTTCACTGATTTCTTTTTCTTTCGCTTATTCGTCTTGCAAATTAGTTACATGACTGTTCAGAACATAGCGGGTAGAAGGTCGTGCTAATGATTCCTGCTCCTACCCGCATTCGATCTGTATTTATAGCTAAGGGATGAAACACAGAAGGACTGCATCGTAAAATGTCTTCTTACATATTATACTTAAGTCCAATCTCTCTATTCTACTATTTGTTACTTTCCATCCCGTTTACTTTGCATTATTATACGCTTTACTAAATCACAAATGAACCTGGCAAAAGAATTTTGATTCGATGATGCTCAATTCACACCAAGAAGTCTCGAAACCACTAAAGCATTCCCATCCGCTTTTCCCAAAGAACCCCTAAGACCCTCCAAGAAACTGAATAAATTTTATGATCGCAGAGCAGATCGAACAACACGCGATGCAGCATTGGTCAAAGCAACTGCAAAAGCTGGTACTGCTACACAGCTGAGTGTGGATTGATTTATAGCTGGCTACGTATTCTAAGTGTCGTAAAATAAACATAGCGAAACGGTAAGCTTTTTTGATGGAAGTTGTTTCGGCAACAAACCTGCTCCACTCGACGAACACCGGAATAAATTTCACCAAGCAAGCTTTTAATATCGGATTGTCATTTGTTGCCGGATCGAATGCTTTCAACATCAAACGACTCAAACAGCCAGCCCAGGACATCATCGGCTCTCTCAGCAACACCTTGCATAGCGTTTCGCAAGCAACAAAACTCGTCTGCGGGTCCTAAAAATCACCAGAATTTTAAGCAAATGCATAAAACAAAAAACAACTTAGTGAAAAAGTAAGGAATAAATAAGAGACCAACAAGATTGTACGCGGGCCATGTTTATGGTGTTATTTTATGGTGCAAATTGCCTTTATCTTTCAGATGTAGTGGGATGATATTTTTCAATGCACTCCCTGTGTTTCATCCTTTAGCTGTAAACACAGACCGAACAGTGCATGCGGGTAGGAGTGGGAATCGTC